CACGAAACGTCAAATCTGCATCCTATATATCAATGTACTTTATATTTGGGACGTTTTCTATGTTTTGTACTCCAAGCTGCATGCATATGCAAGTAGCTGTCGATGCAAGATGGTGCCTTCGTTGGAGCTGTGATTTATGCCTGCATCAAAATATATTTCGTTTCACTGCTTGTATAATAGTCCTCGGGGAAGCTATCTGACAAAAATTACCCGTTCCGAGTTGAAGGTCATTTTTGAATTGCCGATCTATATCTCACGTTGTGCAATAGCTCTAGTATCAAATACAGACTGTTAATGGACGACAACATCTTTTTCATACTGAAATAGTAGTAGCGAGGTTTCGGTGTAGGTTCTGTTACCGTTAATGTTAACCCCTCTCATGTAAGACAAGGGGTGGTGGGATAGCCCATTGGTTAAAGTGTTTTCTGTCACGCCAAAGCCCCGGGTTTGATTCCCCACATGGGTACAATCTGTGGAGCCCATTTCCGGTGTCACCCGCCATTATATTGCTGGAATGTTAAAACTAAACTCACTCACTTTTGTATGACAATTATGATTATAGTTATTCCTTCACCTGTAATGTGTATTACTGCCATGATTATCATTAAGTCCTGCCTGACAAGTATACACAGTATCTGACTGACTGAGTTTTGGTTTTACGCCGCTTTTAGCAATATTCCAGCAACATCACGGCGGGGGACACCAGAAATGGGCTTCACACATTGTGCCCATGTGGGGATTCGAACCCGGGTCTTCGGCGTGACGAGCCAATGCTTTAACCATTAGGCTACCCCACCGCCCCCACAGTATCTTGTACAGGGAGTTGTTGTTATTCATAAACCCTTCGTCTACTTTGTCAGCTTCTAAGAACTGCTGATCAAACACGGCAGTTTGCATGATGCAGTCTATGTTTATTTGAGCAAGTGAATTTAGTTTTACGCCGCACTCAGCAATATATTTATGCTACAACAAACAACGTTTATAAGGAACACGCTTATAACGAACTGACGGATATATCGAACTGTTCCTTATGTTCCGGTCCCACATGTTATATCTCAGTCGAAATGCTTATAACGAGTCCCGTGAACATCCGAGTTAGAATTTATCTTCAGTAACCCATGGTTGTCGTAAGAGGCGACTAACGGGATCGGGTGGTCAGGCTCGCTGACTTGGTTGACACATGCCATCGGTTGCCAATTGCGTAGAACTATGCTCATGATGTTGATCACTGGATTGTCTGGTCCAGGCTCGATTATTTACAGACTGCTGCCATATAGCTGGAAATTTTGCTGAGTGCGACGTAAAACTAAACTCACTCCCTCCCTTATAACGAAGTATGGTTAAAACGAACTGAAATTAGTGGTCCCTTTGAGTTCGTTATAACCGTTGTTTACTGTGTATGACGTATATGTGATACCCTGCTAGACATTAATGAGAACGTGCTGAGAATATAGCTTTTTAGTTGAGTTTACGTGTTAATTCCGCCGCACGCATTAAAATGAAACAAAATTACAATTTCAAAAAGTCGAAAAACAAATCATTTGCTATCCCACTGACGCCATTTCGAAGTTGTGTTTAAAATCTAGATCCGTTATCGTAAGCAATGAGACAAGATTGAGCTCAAATACTGTTGACACTCCTCATAATCTGTATCAATGATTGATTGACAGTAGAATGAGTGACAATAGCACTCATGTCAGTAATGATTACAAACGATATAAACACGATTTAAAGACGCCATAACCTGCGCGAAAATGATGTCATGTATTTTTTCAGAATTTTTGGCAGCGTCACTATGGTTAGTCATCAAGGTGAGGGTCTGACGATAGCAATCATAGAAACCGGGTTTATTAAGTTTCATGAGAGATAAAGCGATCTTTCTTCAACTGTCGACCTCTGTGCGGGTTTTGACAATGGCTTCGGGGCGCGTGTCACCTGGGCTTGATGCGCGCGCCGCTATCTCAGTGCCCATCACTTCCCTGATTGACAGTTCGCTGCAGGGCCGGCGCGGGTCATCACTGATCAGCTGATGGCCAAACACATTATTGAAAATAGTCGTTGTATATTTACGGAAATGCTCTTCCGTTCGAAAATACGTAAGAGTTTTGAGCTCACAGCAGTGTCCACACTCAGAAGTTGAAGTTCTGAGTACACACAAAGGTCATGAAGAAATACACACGTACAAAGGTCAGATGAGAGTACACACTTACAATGGTCAGATGAGAGTACACACTTACAATGGTCAGATGAGAGTACACACTTACAATGGTCAGATGAGAGTACACACAAAGGTCATGAAGAAGTACACACTTACAATGGTCAGATGAGAGTACACACTTACAATGGTCAGATGAGAGTACACACTTACAATGGTCAGATGAGAGTACACACTTACAAAGGTCACATGAGAGTACACACAATGTTCGTGTAGGAGTACACACAAAGGTCACGTGAGAATACACACCTACGATGTTCGTGCAGGAATACACACTTACAAATGTCAAGTGAGAATACACATAAAGGTCACGTGAGAGTACATACTTACAAAGGTCACGTGAGAGTACACATAATGTTCGTGTAGGAGTACACACAAAGGTCACGTGAGAATACACACCTACAATGTTCGTGTAGGAGTACACACTTACAAAGGTCACGTGAGAATACACACTTACAAAGGTCACGTGAGATTACACACTTACAAAGGTCACGTGAGAGTACACACTAACAAAGGTCACGTGAGAGTACACACTTAGAAAGATCACGTGAGAGTACACACTTACAAAGGTCACGTGAGAGTACACACTATATTCGTGTAGGAGTACACACTTACAAAGGTCACGTGAGAGTACACACTTACAAAGGTCACGTGAGTGTACACACCTTACTATGTTCGTGTAGGAGTACACACTTACAAAGGTCACGTGAGAGTACACACTTACTGCATTCGTGCAGGAGTACACATTTACAAAGGTCAGGCCGCGCATGCATTGTACCCAAACAACAATCGATAACCTACCGCTGGATCAGGAGAGAATTGGATCGCGATGAAGGATACCTCTTTCGTCATTTGCATTTAATGTCATCAGGTTGATGAATGTTAAGTTCATACGTAGATTTTGTTTAGATTTTCAGTTTTCCAATCTCGCTTTGACCCAGTCTTATTCACAGTGTGCGAATAGGTTCCACATTTTGCTAGCCAGTCGGGCTAGCTATGCCTGAAAGTTACGAGCCCACAAAATAATTCACTAGCCTGAAATCTGAATGTTGACACGGGTTTCATCAATAAGCTGCTAATATGATGAACACTTTCATCAGGACAGAATATTGCATGATTTAAAAGTGTATCATAACTTAACAAGTCGGAGAGAGTGATATATTTACAAAATGACCCCATGAAAATTCACTAGCCAGTCGGGCCAGTGACTGTGGAGATTTACTGGCCCGTCTGGATTTTTACTAGCTACGGGCTAGCACTGCTTATTCATCAAATAACTGCGCTGGCCAGAAATCCAAATGACTGCATTTTTTGACTGGACAGCTTTCATGGCTCGAAGATATAGATTTCAAGAAACTAGTTCCAAAACTGTACTTCTCCGATCAAACATCCACTTATCATAACTGATAGCTTCATGTCGACTTTAGAAAGTTCTACTAAAGTCCAATGGTAGTACGGAGTACTTATATAAAATCCTCCAAAGTGCTCTTGTTCCCAAGTCACACGATCTCGATTTCCTGGAGATATAAACCAGTTTGGGGATAAACTGAGCGCTTATGTAATACTAGGCAATGAAAAAGTGATATTCCAAGAATAGAAATGATTATGGTACGTACAAATCAGTGATGTATGACAAATGGATGTTAAATATGGCCTGGTCTTTGTCTCGCGCTGATCGCGGACATTACCGAATTGTCCCGATTGATGGACTCATGACCTAATCCCCTCCTACAGATCACATCTGTTGCCGGTACATCTGCGCTCTTAATGCCAGTGACAAAGGCTCCCAAAATAACGCTGACAGGGCTGACGTCGACATGACCGACAATACGCGTCTCCATGTGCCCATCTCGGCTACGTCACCCCCAACTGTCAACACCACTGTGTTTGAGTCGCCGCACTTTTGTACATAGTCAGGTCCGGCGACAAACACCACGTGATGTGGTGCAACTGCACACTGACAAGCCAAACCCCCTTCCCCCTTCGCCAACACCCCCTTCCCCTCTCACGTGAACCCCCTCACATTTAACACCTGGATAGAGCCTCATTGATTTTCACATCAAGTGCTATGGTCCTCGGAGTCACAGCCTATGGTGCAACATTTTACACCACTGTAAGACCACGGGATGTTTTGGACTCAAGTCAGATGTTCTAAAATAAGATTTTTCAAAGATTTCAAGCAGTGGTTGTGTGCCAGGTGACGATGCACGTGACTCCGTTAGGGGCCTCTATGACGGGGCCAGTTCATGGACCATGTCAATTATTGAACTAAAGGACCCCAGGGCATGGCTTGCCTCCAGGTCGACCTGACTTGATGATGACTTGATGAATCTGTCTGTATAGTTGGCATATTGCCGACTGCCCTGTTCGGCATTCATTCACTCACTATGCTAACTTACAGTGAGTGAATTAATTTAGCCTCACATCAGCAATAGTGAGTGAGTGAGTTTAGTTTTACGCCATACTCAGCATTATTCCACACCAGCAATATCGTGAACTAACTTATAATTAATAATACATGTATATAACACATAGGTACTAATCGTGTTTTACAAATCCCGTTCCTTCTTGAGAAACTAAGCTTGTCACCAGTTTCGAGTCAACGATCCCAACAGATACGAATCAAAGTAAGTCAAAGAATAATCGATTTTATATGACTGTATTACGAACTAACAATCTACATGTGAAAAAATGCGTTATTATCACTTCAGTACATTTCTACATCTGTGAATGAACTGACCTCAGTCTCTGTTCACTCAAGTAAGGAATAAAAAACATACAAGAATTGTTTCATTTGATTGATGTTTTATTTTGAAGCAACATGTTATCACAACGTAGGAAAGGGCTAAAAACAATGCATGTACAGAGTACGTCATAGCTTGTACTAACAAGTAGTACGAACACGTGTTACATAATACTGTATGTCAGTAAACAACCCAGTAATAAATAAAGTCATAAGTCAGCGGGAAAGAGTACTCAGGTCGCATATCCGAGCTCCAGGGATGTTCCACAAAGTAATCCCAGCACCATTCGACTGTAGCTGCAAACACAGGGGCGTGTCACGCTTAGAAACAGCCTTAGAAAGACATGTAGGTATATAGACCCTACCCTAGTACTATATAAAAGGGTAGGGTCTATATACCTATATGTCTTTCTAACGCTGTTTCTAAGCGTGACACGCCCCTGTGGCTGCAAAGTTCTTTCCCATTCCTGCGAAAGGCCGGACCAACAGTCGAGGTGCTGGGATGAACTTGTGAACAGCCCTAGGCCAACCAGGAGTCATGTTCGTTTACATAGCTCACAACCTCTTGAAACCATCAACCTGTGTATAATGGACATCTTGTTTTAACACTACAGGAGGTACATTGAGAGATTCAGGTTTCAAATGGTTATCAGACCTTGTCTGAATCCTGGCGCACACACACCACAGATTGAAGTAGCGGGCATCTCTGGGTATCTGTCATCCTTGTACATTTAAGCCATCTTACTGGTAACAAAGGGATCAAACCTAGTACATGATTATTGAAAATTCAATCTAATATTTTTTTCATTTGAAATAAATAATTAATAATGCAGTGTAATCATTAATTATATCACAAAGTTTGATACTCTTCTACTTAAAACATAATCTACAGACATGAACACCCAAGCTGCTGAGATCTGGACGATGGCCACAATGAACTGTTCATCTGGTAACCGAAAGTGAAACCATACCAGACATGTCCAAGTGGCACCACCTCACTATACAAGCAGCCCACCCACCCCCAACACCTTACAGATGAGATAACTATTCATAGTGATAGGTGGTCTCAGCACACAAGAGTGAACGCCTTGATATCCTTTCCTGATCAGATTTCTTCATCAAACCATGATTGTCTCGACCAATCAGGAAACGGCATCAAGCAGATAAATATTACAACATACTATAATAATTGCACCAATAAAAAACCTGACCTATTCTGACAATGAATACCTCCAATATATTACAAGAGTAATGCAGGAATGGTTAATCTCGTTGTCAGATGGATTGTAGGGTACTTTGCATGCTTCAATGACATGGCTATAGCACTAATGAAAGAGACGTAATCTCAGTGTAGCTTGCTAATGTTCGATGGCAACAAAACATGGTAATAACTATTTGAATTCATCTTCTGATGGAGCCTGGTGGGGCAAGGTGGTTCTTGTTGAATCTACTGATCAGTGGCAGAGACAGTGTGGGTTACACACATGAACATTTCTACATACATGGAATGATCGAAATGCAAGTGTAACATGCTCAACAGGCGTAACAAAATGATAACAATGAAAAAGCATCTGGTTACGGTTGGTTGATTACACTTGTATTAGTGAGGGTTACTTAGGGAGCAAATTAGTAATACGAAGGGTTTGTGTGACATACAATTGACTTGCCAAAAAACAATTTAAAATCAAATCAAAATAAAATAAAAACAGTAAATTTTGACACCTATAATAACAAGGAATCTGCCTTGTGTGACAATGTGTGTGACATACAGACAGAACCCTTGCAAGTGGTGTTTGTATCAGATATGTGTTTGTATCATGATACGATAGTGTACCCTTGCATCTCAACACAAGTTACAGGAAAGTAGCATGTTGCATCCATGAAAGGACTATGGGACAGATGGGTGAATCCATACGCATCAAACCTAGATATAAACAAGTTTAACAATCTGTACAACTTGTAGATGCTTCAACATTTTCATAGTAACAGTTATAGAGAGTTAAAAAAATAGTTATCTGCCCTCACAATACTATAGACAATTCACATTCTCTAACATTTGATTTATCAGCATACAGGTCTTCAGATCACCATGGAAGTAAGAACAAACATCATAAAAACATTGTGTTCATATAACTGTAAAGAATGCCATTGAACAATACATGATTACCATGATTGTCAAAATCACTGGGATAATATACAAATACATTTCAAAAACATTTTATATATACCAAAAATGTTTGAGTTAGTAAGGATTTGTTTAGAAACAGAACAAATAAATAATTTGAAGGTTTGAAGAGGAGTACACATGTACTTGAAACTGAAAAAACCCACTGTTTGTCCTTGAAACCATTCTGAGGAATCTTGGAACAAACAGTATCAACAGGAACACAACTTTCCAGTGATTTTGAACTTGATGGTAGTGTGGACGTAAGTCTAGACTTATTAAATCAGTGGTGTTAACTGTTAGTGCAGCAGTTGATAAAAGAGCCCAAGTCGGATAGAATCAACCCTTGTCCTGTAACCATGGTTACAGTTCCAGTTAAACGTATCATTTGTTTTTCACTATGATTTCTGGTCTAAAAACCGTCCGGGTTGAATTCTATCCGTGCCAATGAAGTCACATAAGATCAGTTCATAAATCAGTAATTGATACATGTATTGGTGTAGGAACATGGTGCAATTCTACACATCTAACTGAAAAACTACCCCTAATACAAACACCTCACACACAGCCTGTGTTGGTCAAAGTCCCCGCCAAAAGCAAGTTTGGCAACAGGAAGATGAAAAGCCGTAACAATTAATAAGATTCTGAAATATCATCAAAATCATCATATCTAAATGAAATGGAAACATTTCTAAAATGCATTAATGTTAATTTTCTTGAATGTCTATCCAAAACATTTGTTTATCATGTGGCTCAAATTCATTTAACTTTAAACCTCACACTATATTGACTAATCATGATTAGGCCAAACAAATCAACATCATGTCTGGTAAATTACTTTGTACAATATGCAATGAGGCAACTGATAAGAATAACTGATAACTTTGCCAGGGTTGATTTAAAATATATCACATCATAACTGCTATTTACTGCAGATCTTAAGTCTTATTTTCCTTTCGACATTTTTTAACTTCATCTGCAAAAGAAAATAAACTGGCTTGGCTTTCGGACTTATTCTTCTGTGCCATGAAAGGCATCGACCCCTACAGGCTGTGTGTGCTGATGAAGGTGAAGCAATAATAGGAATTAGCTATATTGTAGTCTCACTGACTAGAACCCAGTAATGCCAACATCAGAATATAGTATTCACAGTTACTGTGGCAGCAGTCGGAATGCATGTGCATGCACACTCGCGTGCATGTCTGCAACTGAGCTGCTGCAGATCTTTGGATTTGCAAACATGTTCGTTACAAGTGTCACTCACATATGAGTCGGAAGTACATAGCGTCACGTACAACAGTCGAGGAGCACCACTCCATGAAAGACAAGGTCGACCTTGACCACGGAATGGAGAAGGTGACAGGTATAAAATAACGTGTGGAGATCCCCCTCTGGAGGCAGTCATTCAGTCAACCACTGACCCATACTCGCTCACGCACCAACTTGCACTCACTCACCAAGTCACTCAGCTCCACTCGGACCTCCTGAAATGCAGGTTCATCATGGCAGCACATACTCAGTATGTACACACTACAGTAAAAAATATCACAGATAGCCAGGGCAGGCCTTCCTTCACAAGGCTGCTCGCTCTAGCCAGGTGAAACCCACAAGTTGGCCCACATGTAGACCAACAGGCGTGGGCGGCAAGGAGGCAGTCAGCACCTGTGGCCATTAATGAACCACCGTTTTTTTTCGCCAAGTTCACATCACCTAGCTTGGCTATCACAACACTTGCATCCTGCAACAATAGTATCCACGGTGTCACGTCATGTGACGCATCACTGCACTGCACGAAGACTGTACAACAATTCCGCCTGCAATCGGGCCTCGAACAACATCAGATTTACATGAACCTGAAAGAAAGGACACATCATGAGTACATGGAGATTTATAAAGGTTTAATACCAAAGTACAGAGAAAAAGGTCTGTAGGAGAGTGGAAATGTATTATTTTGAAAGATTGACTTTCCACTCATGTTAACTTTTAAACTGCAGACAAATGTGAATAAACTGGCACAGGAATCTTCCAACAATCCATTATTCTGTTTTACAGAGATCAAGAGCAGGGTTTTTTAAAATTATTTTCTCCTCAACATCAAAGTCACTTATATATCTCACCTTTTCAGAATGTTTGAACTCTCTCATCACGCCATCATAGTCCTTTTTCTTCAGTCGTTCTGGGTAGCATGTAACTGTTTTGATATAGGCCTTCAGGTTCCTCTCCAACAGTTGGTTCACTTCCCCGTAGTTGTAGTCATCGTGACGGATGCCGTACATGCAGTGGATGTAGTTCCAGATTGTCCGCCGGAATGCTGTGGTATCTACTGATGTGTTGTCACCCATTCTGTTACAAAATCATGAAATAAAATTAAACAGCTGGAAAAACATGTCATTTTAAGACTTTTTTTCAATAAGTTTAACGACCCCCAACCAAAATACTAAAAACTGTATGAACTTAAATTTCTACAAGCCCAAAACATTCAACAGGTCCAGTTAAACCTCTTAGAAAATGAGTACCCTTTACCTTATTGCCCTGAATTTCTAATGTTAATAGACATATTTAATATTTTCTACAGAATGAAGCTCTATTATTGACATTACAATAAGTCGAAGTATATTACTTACGTGTAGTATGTGAGATTGTATGCCACATTGAACTTTTCATCAAGAAGGTTGCCAACATCAGTGTATAACCGGTTGGCCAGTGAGAAGCCTTGATCTTCCCAGGAATAGTCCTGAGCTCGAAATGTCGGGATCTCTGATGCTGAGCCACGCTTAGCAAAGTCCTCATACTGGAACGTTGTATCATCGACATAGCACAGGATGTCAGACTTCGGAGATGGAGGCTGTGCATTTGTTGTGACTGAAAGAAACAATACAATTATGAGTAAAACAGAAAATCAAATATCAAACGAATATTTTAAAAGATCTCAAAATCATAAATCAGTGATTTGTCCTGTATTCCAAACTAATTGCCCTTTGGAAGAAGCTTGGGGGGAAAAGGTCATGATATTGCTAAAAAAATTAATGTTATCACTTAAAATGTTTTTAATTCAAACTGGGAACTTTTAGTGTCATTTGTTAGGAAACTCAAAACCTCCACCTATATTCTTTTCACAATATTGGACTTCAGTAGAATCACAGTATATACTCACTCAATGCATTCTGAGACTCGACATGTTGGAAACGTTTCAACAGTTCGTCTTGTGTCATTTCCTCCTCTCTTGCCTCCATCAGCGCCCGCATCTTCTCCATCAGTACCGACAGACCACCACCCTCAAACTCAGAACACTGAAAGAAACATGTGAACTGTCATGTTCAACTCAACACAATATCAATCAGCTAACACTGGCCTATCAGCCGATCAACTCTACACAATATCAGTCCAGCTAACACAGGCCTATCAGCCAGTCAACTCTACACAATATCAGTCAGCTAACACAGGCCAATCAGCCGGTCAACTCCACACAATATCAGCCAGCTAACACAGGCCTATCAGCCTATTTGGTAATGTAGGCACTGACATATTATTGTTTGTCAATTTAATGTTTAATCTTCCAGCCACATGATGGCAGCCTGCAACAAAATCAAGTCTGGACAAGACCATCTAGTTAATGATACAATGTCCTATTGGGAATCAATAACATGGAAGTCAACCAAATCACTATGCAAGATCACCCAACCAATTTAGCTCAGGACAAATTCAATCCCAAAATACCCACAATGGAAGGCAAATTGGATCTGTCATATGAATGGAAACAAAGTACCGGTAAAGGATTTGGTACTTACATTTTCACCACCTGAGGAACCGTCACTGGAGTAATCAACCTCACTGGCATCACTGACAGATGGGGGGCGGAATGTGTATCCTCCATCTTGATCTACTTCCTGGTTAATTCCACAACCAAACACAAAGCTTGACAGCGCATGAAACTGTGCCATGATTACCAATGCATGAACAACCTCGCTCACTGACCAGCTGTCCTTTCCACGGGTCAGTTTCTGAAAACAGACAATCGAAAATGAAGTATGTCCCATTTGGAAAAATTGGTTAAAAGATTTAGTTCATGGCCGACTCTTCTTTTTGAACTGTGTAGATATCAGTGAACTTACCTCAATGTGATCTTTGGTGATTAGCCATGGCCTGTGAGCTAGTATCTTATTAATTTCGTTGAGATCTTTGAGCTTGTGAGGTATCCTCTCAAGGCCCTTGAGCCAGTCTGGGTTCCCTCCTTGAAGTAGGAACTCATGAGACTGAAGTTTGATCAGGTACGAGCATTGATGTCTTCCTGCTGCCTATAAAAAATATACTGGTCTCATCAAATATTCAACAACTCAAAAACAGTCTGTGCCAAAAGTTTACAGTCCACTACCCAAACTTGGCTCTGAAGCATCCGTTTCAGATTTTTGTGTTATTAACATAACTATAATTAGCTGTGATCACTAGACCAAACAGAATCTTACTAGCCTTGGATTTCAGACCAGTGGTTAGATTCACTGACTGCCTTGTGATAATGCAACAAAGCTTGTAACTTAAAACACAGGTGACTTATAAATAACCAACATATCGAATGAATCAAATGAAATACTTACTTTTCTGTTAGACAGAATAATGCTAAAACTATGTACAATAAGGAAGACAGGTACTAACCATGATTGCTATATAATGCCTGTATTCAAAAGGAAGAGGTCCATCTTCCTTTAGCAAGTAGTGTTGTGTGCGGAGGAAACACTCCAGGTAGTCGGGATGGTAGCCCATCAGCTGAGTGATGTGCTCGAGGCGATTGTTCTGAAGGAATGCATCTACAAACAGTGTCCTTGTCTGAAACAAAATCAGAAATATATAATTACTCTCCCTGTCAAGACAAACTTGCTTGTGCAGGTTTCAGGCTAGTTTGTACTCACGTACACTTTGAGATTGTGACTAAAAAAATCACTTGTGATACTGATGAAAATGTTACATATAGATGCCATTTGTTTCTAATAACATCTCGCCGATGAAACAATCTAATAATCCCATGCATCTAATTGCTTAGCCACATGGGAAAATATACATACACGTCAAATAGCGATCGATGACAAATATTTATGTTTACGCCACAAAGCAATTTTGATTAGAATTGCACTATCGGACGAAAGCATTATAACATCGGTCTCATAAAAAATTAAAAGTAGCTAACACAGTCCCGACAGGTATTGGGCACGAATCACACCGCTGGCCAGCTGAGAAATAGAGGTCAAACACAACCTGAGAGCTATCACCGACAGCCATCAGCTGGCCTGGGGAAGATAGGGAATCCACCAGGCTATTTATAGAGAGCAGTGGCATGAGTATCCAAGCCAATCAGCGCGCGTCTATAAATAGATCCGACAACAGTGGTTTCCATGAGCTGGGTCATTTCGCTCAGCTGTCATTTTGTTTGCCTGTTTAAACTAAATTGCTGACTGTGGCCCCTTGTTTTTCAGCCGAAACGGAAGCGGGGTGACAAATACAGCTTTCAATGGAGCTAAACCAGTTTCACAAAACCATTGGCAGTTTGATGAATAACCGCTCATAATAGGACGTTTGTGTGGACGCTCGAATTAATCCTTCGAAGGTTTCATCATAATATGATATGGCTGACCTTGTTATCGAGGAAAGGTATGAACCATGATAGCTGTATGTTTTATTCACTGCAACAGTCGATAGTAACTGAGTTTCGTATATAAAAAACGGGAATATCAAATATATACGATTCACAAGTGTTACCATTTCTAAGAGTTGCATCAGCCACATTAATATCCGTTCCTCTCAAGCTGTTCATGCATAGATCATGCTGCCCGTTGGTGATAGGAAAGGTTGCATCAGCACGCGGTCAGAAAGGAAACAAACTGTTTATGGGTGTCGAACATTGCATCAGCAAGCATAATATATCCTTCCTTTGATCGGTGTTCTATATAGCCAAGCCTAAAGCTAAAACCGCCGGACAATGAACAGCTGATGAACTGCCGTACGTCACGGGCCAAAGGAGTGTTGTCAACAAAGACATGATCGCTTGAATGGATATATTTCTCCAATTGCTCACATACTTGAACAAAAGAACGATAATTACCTTGTCATCAGGCGTGTCGACAGGCACGATCTGCAAACGAAAATATTTTCAGTTAAACTGTGTAGAAACATACTTCATATTATTTTAGTGTAGAATCTAGATCTACGTAACTTTACATGGCTACGAATGAGAAACTGTCTGCTGAAAGGTTATTAGGAAGACCACACATTCCTTCTGGTTGAATAGTATTTTAGATCCAAGTATTCAGTGGTCTGCAGAAACATCATTGTCAAATGACCGAGTTCAAATCGTGAAATGCAAGATAGCCTACCAATTCACATGATTGTGAGAAATTATGCACGAACAGCGTCCAGTTAATAAAAGTGTAATTCTCAACAGTTTCGTGAGCAAAATGTAAAATATTCACACTAAATATCACGCAAGCATAAGCCAAGTGTCAAGTGTCAGAAAAATAGTACCTGTTGCAAAATAGCGAGAGAGCAGGTATCTGCAAAAATGTATTCCTGTCGTCCACATTAGAATAAACTAGCATAAGCAGGAAAACAGTGATGTCATGTTCTATTTTGAAATTCATTCAGTCCAAATACCGACATAGCATTTCTCAAATGTAAAGAAAGAATAGAGCATTAACAGTATTGGTTCGTGTTGATGGCGAAAGGTGCCCAGTGCGATTCAAACCCTTTGTTTCATTCCGCTAGCTGCAGCGGTTTGACAGCTGACCCAGGATCGAGCCATGACTGCCGAACAAAGCTCGCGTCGGCCATCCGCATAAAAAAGTTGGGACGATAATATCTATGACATTATTCAAAAAGATGACATCATTGATGAAACCCTACATAAACAGCTGATTAAAACACATCTAAATAACCTAGTGTCACTAATTTAAAAACGCCGCACTGACGGCTTCCGAGTGGAAAACTACCGGGCAAGCCGGCAAGTCAGCTGAGAAATGGAGCCTATCGCAAGAGAAAATCGAGAAAACACAAAGGCAACTTACTTGAATGTCACCCTCAAGTGGTTCGTAAGTCTCCATAGGAATCATATTTGTATTGTGTAAGCAGTTCGTTTGATTCATATACTCATAATATCACAGTAAATCCTTGTTAGTACTTCCTAACCTGCCCAACTGACGGCAGACGATAGACTGAATAGAACAGCTGATTGCGGCGATATGACCCACAGCTGACCTCATCGCCATGAATACGTTAACACGAACCAATCAAATCGTTGCTCCGTTTATGCAAAGCCGAGAAGGCACAAAGCAGCCTGTCGAAACCTCAATAGTCAAGCAAAACAGCCAGGGAAATTTACAAGCCGTGAAACACAAGAGATAACTTTCCCTCCCTACGAAAGTGAATAAAGTACACATATCAGTACTTGCGCAATACATATTTAGTACTGACTTAACCTTATTTTATCTACGAAATAAGGTATAAAATATATTTTAAAACCTGTATTGCAACGATTAAATCTTGAGACACTTATCCCCGATATTTGTTGCGTAGTTAACACACTTTTATGAATATTTTAAACAAGACACGGTAAAGGTAATCAGGAGTCAAATGCTTTGCCAACCTCAGAATATATTGATGAAACAGCAAAAATAAGTATTATTAATTCGTGATAAAATATTTTGATGAAATTGAGAACAGATACTATTTCGTGATCAAATTGCAACCAGCGGTTCGGGTACATACTAAATGCATTATTCCTTGACGGAGGGAGCTTTTATTCCACACCTGACAGCTGCGATTTCTTGTAGGTATGCTTATTGTATTTATGAGTACGCATGACACAATGCAAGCGGCTACAATTGTATCTAACTGTATAACACACCCCTCTTCCCCATCCATGGTGCCCAGTAAACGTAGGCCTCGGACATTGGTACGTTATAATCAGAAATACATTAACAATTCATTATTATTCAAATCTAAACCTGCAACAAGTAACGGCTTCAGGATAAAAGCCTGTAGTGTTTCAGGAGCGACGAACACAAGAATGCCTGTCCTTGGTTTCGCGTGTGTAACACGGTCTTCGAGCATGCAGGAACCAACATGTCAGGAATTACAAGAAAGTGGGATCGGAAATAAAATGAACCGGGGCAATGTAGAAAATACCAAAATGTGGTTAGTGTGAGCTATTCACACAAAACAACCCGTAGCAGTCAAAGCTCTATGTTTTTTAAGAAGTTATATGCAGACGTATCTACAATGGCGCCTTTATTGATATAGTTGAAACGGCAATGCATATACTATTTAAGTGAGTTTGAACAATATTCCATCAGTATCACTTCGGTCCAGAAAAGGGTTTCACGACAGCTCCTACGTGGGGATTGGGGTGTCAAGCAAACGCTTCAACCACAGAGCTAACCACCATCCGCAGAGTTGTAGACTTTTAAGAATTAGGGGCGGTGGGGTAGTCTAGTGGTTAAAGTGTTCGCTCGTCACGCCGAAGACCCGGGTTCGATTCCCCACATGGGTACAATGTGTGAAGCCCATTTCTGGTGTCCCCGACGTGATATTGCTGGCATATTGCTAAAACATTGTAAAGATAAACGTACTCACTCTTAATTAACACCTATAAATTCTACCATAAAACATAACCCATAATATGACCCCAATTCAAAACAAAGCATGGCCATAACAACTTTTAGGTTGTTTTAATATATGTTAGATAGCTCGCCATTTATTATCAAACAAAAAATGAAAACGATGCATGGCAGAGAAGACACGTTTAAACGAGACAAGTAACTCGTCAAACGTACATCGCCATGACGCGTAAGACGGTCGTCCCATATTCACTCTTGTCGGTTGACTGATTATAGGAACACTTCATTCTCACTCACTCATGAGTGAGTTGGGTTTTACAGTGATTTGAACAGTATTCCAGCTACAATTTCGGGGAAGGACGAATGGCCATTTTGGTGCAACCCACGAGCATGGATACAATACTGATCAAAACCTGGAGACAATATAGGGTCGAACTGGGACTTGAACCTAAAAACCTACGTTCCTGGCGTGCCCAAGGGACGCAACTCTACTTCGTCTAAGAGGAGTGCACCACCTGAACCCTCGATTCTCATTTATCCTATATCTCAACACAACATTTTAATCCCCATACAATCATACACGAGTTCCATTAACGATCCCATAACACACACTGAGAGAAGTATTGATTTCACTGCGTAAGTAAAGGTGAGGTGAGGTGAAATTGGGGTTTACGTCGTGCTTGAGAATATTTCGCTCATATGACGACGTGCATGCGTGTGTATGTGTATGTGCGGCTGCTTGTACTAGCCCAGACTTAAGCTGGTTTTATAGTGCTAGCCCACTGAGATACCATGCCGCAGTGAAGCATGAATACCCCACTCAGACACATTATACTGACTCCGAGCCGACCAGTCCTTGTTGTACCCATTAATGCCGAGCGCCAGGCAGGGACCAACAAGTACCATATTTTAACGTGTTTTGGTATGACGCGGTCGGGGATCGAACCCGCGACCTTCCGCTCTCCGGGCGGACTCTCTGACCACTACACCACGGAGGCGATCCGCGTAAGTAAAGGTATTCAACGTGGAATTATACAGCTTTGATGCATATCTATACACGGTGGTACCTTGAAGCTAGACAAGCATTATGTAATAGACAGAATTGTACCATTGAGAATCCCCACCCCCCCCCAATCTCTCTCTCTCTCGGTGTGTGTGTACGTGCGTGCGTGTGTGTGTTGGTGTTTTGGAAATTACCTCGAAAGCCAACCTTTTTTAAAACTACAAACTCAAATATTCTCAAACTACAGCACCTGTACCCAAACATACTCGGGGTCAGTGTTTACATCTGTGATCACAGATAATCATGAAGCGAAGTTAGAAGAAATACGGTCAATGTATTCTCAACAACAAAGTAAATTCCACAACTCCGACCGAATTTCAAACGGTATCACTAGTTATGTAGTAATCAGCTACACATAACTTTGTGCCCGTACATATGCAGCGTAGACTGAACGGTACTTGTTTTTTCAATACTCCGAGGGTGAAGGTCGTGTAGTTGAGCATTTTCATTGGTCAGGAAGTAGGTATGATGGAACCTACGTATCTGATTGGTTCAAATCTGGAGGTGTGTCGTCGGTGACCTTGCTATCCGAAGATCGCCACTGTTGTTAAATCTCAACCGAAGAGCGCTTAACAATTAAACGTATACAGAAAGGTTTCGTGTCAGGGTGACCGCGATCAACTTTCCAGAACGATCCATTCAAGCGCTGTGAGAAGCAGGCAAAATATGCGTTGTTCCATACGCTAGATTTATGGCTCATGAACGCTGTTATCGAGAGGCGTTTGTCTGTGTGTATATCTCTACACCTATAACAAGATCGTAAAGATTTCGTTGATGGAAATGGTAAAACAAAATCATCCAGAGTGCTGCTGACATTCACTGACAATCTGTTGAAGCTAATGTGTATGTTTACTTTCGAGATCATGTTATAATGAATAATTCTAGAAGAACACAGGATTTGTGGGCTAAATACAATCAATATTTATTATCAAACGAACATCTTTCATATGGTTGAATATTATTCTACGTTCATAGATCTAACGTATAAATGAAATGCGCAATAATTATATTTGTGAAACTCACGAACAATACGCGGAACAGCTCTTATATATACTGACAAGTGTGTCACCCTTCCGTCTTCAGACATATCAGGACACACTAACCTCGAGAAATCACAAGTGACTATGTACATTAGAAGAGTGATCTATAGTGTTTCGTTGTTTAACGCCGCACTCAGCAATATTCCAGCTATATGGTCACGGTCTGTAAATAATCGAACCTGGACCAAACAATCCAGTGATCAACATCATGAGCATCGATCTAACGTGTAGTTGTTCGCTTCTATTTCCAGACGCCGCCATGACAACGGATCTTATCTATCGTCCCGGAAGTTCACGGATTTTACCGAGAATATTTTTTTATTTTAGTTTTTATGTGTTTTTTTTACCCATACTTCCGACATGGAGATCCGTTTAACGGTAAACGTGTCCCGTAATGCGCGGTATACATGACTGTACA